CTTAAAAGAAATTTTCTAAGCCTTTTCACTGTAACTTGTAATCACTCTCTTATAATTATCCATTCTGTATTAATGCAAACATGCACACCTACCTTTATGGTAACGTTTCCTTTTGTTATTTTCCTCATATTGAATCCTACTGTAGGAATCATATCTTCTGTGAACTGCCCTGACTAGAATACAAAAAAAATGGTTACATATATTATAAAACAATCCACACACAGCAGATACATCTCTCATTTGCAATCTAAAATTTTAATTTTACAACACTGTAAAACACCACATTAATTTTCTACAAGAACATCAGCCAGCACTTCAATTAATGCATTGTCACGCCAAGGAAAACCGTTCATTTCAGTCCCTTTAAATGATCTTTTATTCTCCTCAGTGACAAGGATCATCCCAGAAACCACGAGACTTCAGATAATTCCTCATTTGATCTTTGAGCAAACCAGAAAGCAGCATTGTCAAAATATGATGAAACTGACTGTACTTGGATCTTTCCCTATAGTTTCTCACCACTATTACCAACAATTTAACGTGAGATATAACAAATGGTGAAGGAGTACTCATGTGGAGAAAACTCCATGCCGTCCTTTTCCTTCTGAGTAGGTGACAGCAAAGGAGACAGACCCACTGTGGAAACTAAACGAATGCCACTGAGATGGAAAAATTCAAAGTACTAACTCAGCACACCATCAAACTTAACAGTGTTGAATGCCTGTCTTTACCTCCGTAGTTAAGAGAAGTATTTCTACAAGACAGACATTTGTCAATACGACAATGGGAACCTTACAAAAATCTACCCAACTACAGAAGGTAGCTTTTGAGGAAAAAGGCGAAACTCATTTCTAAGAAGGTAATTCATTATTCATTCTTCCTGTTCAAAATTCATCATTAGTGAAGTGTTGTGCCTCACCAGGAGTAGTACATTAAGATATGCAGCAGGTTACTTAACAGTTCTTTCTACGCAGAGGTCCAGGCACTCTGCAATGCACGCAGTAGTCCTGGATTTCCAGTCACCCAGAAAGGAAGAGTGTGGTATCTGTATCTTCTATCTGCCCTATATGCCCCTCATCAACCCATGTGACCTGCTTGTTTTTTTTTTTCATTTGTTTGTTTCTCCCCAAAGAAAATATGAGTATATGGACCTCACTCCAGCAGGGCCCTCCCATTCCAGAAGCAGATGATCAGAGCTTCAAGTGCACAACAGCAGCAACATGCCTCCAGTCGCACACCACCACCAGCTATCCCTAGTGCTGTTGCTGGCCGCTGTATTGTCAGTTTCAGTGGTTTCAGTTAGGACATAAATGCTTTCTGCAACTCTCATCTTCACTGTTTGTGGCGGCATGAGAATACAGTTTGTACCGCAACTCCGTTTGTGTTTACAAACTAAGACTTTTTTAAAATTTGAGACTTAAAAAGCTGTGTAACCTTTGACAGCTATTTGCTCCTCTTGCATGATTTTGGGGCTTGGAATTAGATCCTTTGGGCAAGAAACAAGATCCATCAATTTCTTGTTCAATTTCACCTAGGGAAATCTCACTGCTAAATTCAGTACTATACATCTTCCCCATCTTTTGTTTCTGGAAGACTCTTTTTTCTTCTCTTTCCTTGGTTCAGTGACTTGTCAACAGCAGCAACAAGGAAAACAGGGAAGACAAATGTACCTGTAGTTTCCTACTGATGCACACAGCAGTGTCAGAAGTTTTTAATTGGATAGCATAAGACAAAGCCAATCAGTAACAATCTGCTGTAGCGGGTACTGGCCTAATTTGCTAGTACGCTGGGAATGTAGTATTGTTATTCAGGCACAGGAAAGCTTGGAAAACCAGACAGCCAGCTCAGGAGGCTATCATTTAGGCAAACTCATAGAAAGTCAGCATCTGATTTTGTCAGCGAATTATACACCATGAGTAATATGCTAAACTAGACAAAAATCAAAACAAAAAGCAATCATAATCCCCCAATAGTTTGGGGGATAGAATGTAACATATTAATGGCTCCTTTAATGGTTTTTATTATCCTAAAAATTTTCAGTTATGGTTAAACAGAACAAGCGACAAAGTGTAATGTTTACAATTCTTTATTTTCTCCACACAATGTAGAAAATTAGTACGCTGAATTTTTTGCTCATATTAGTCCACAAACTCAAACTCCAATTACTGCGTTTTGTTTCAAGTGCTGTAAGCACCATAAAGTAAAAAGCAACTTCAATTTTGCTTGCTAAGGAAGTTTCACATGACAAATGGCCTATTTTTGTCAATATTCAAGATGTGCAAACAATTTTATTGTTATACCTCAGTAAAAAAGAGATTACATCCTGACACAAATGAAAATAACCAGTGCTAAGAAGTTTGTAATGTCCTTTTTAAATGTTGATGAATAGTGAACTGACAATGAATACTGTCATTACTCCTTACTGTATCAAAAACAATGGGACAGATTCTACTTCATCACATCGTGCAGTGAAGTTACCCAAATTTTCCACTAGTAATGGAGGACTAAATACGGCTCAAACAGGGAGGAGACTGTCTCAAATCATGTTTATTCTGTGTTTGCATGAGACGATCTCTGAATACTATTCTAAAGTGAGAAAAATAATTATTTCCTATCATTTGTTTATACAATCCATTGCCGTTTGCATTTTAAGAATCCAGTTTTGTAATGGCTATTTTCATCTTGTCTCACACTAGCCACATAAATGCAAATGCACAGAGTTCCCTGTCTATTTGCCATCCTCTTATCAACTGGAATCAAGAGTACACTACTACCCATTGCCTCATGCAAAATTGTTTACTCCCAGATTCTCCAACTAGCCTTCCTTGGCAATTATCAGTGCACGAGATCTCCAAATCGAAAGATCCAAAAGCTACAAAAACAGTCATCTGTTACACTCCTCGAGTCAGAAAACATGGATGCCTTGCAGAATACTCTTAAGAGCGATGTATGCTGACAAAACCAGGCCTGCAGCAACAGGAGTGCTATCGAATTTGCGTTAGCATGAGAGAGGCATGACATCATTCCACAGGTGGTGTAGCACGAATGAGTGGGCAAACATTAAATCTAATACTGCACACTACTGTTAGAGCACTAAGGTCTCTGGACTGCTGTGTTCTCCTCCGCTCCCTTTATGAAATCAATCCACGAGGAAATATCATTTATTAAGCCTTTTCTGCCTTCCCCACCAAAGCCCGCTGTTGGGACATGAATGCTTCCTGTGGACATTAAGAGTATGGAGACCCACATGAGTGCCTAAAAATTAGCTACAAGTTTCAGAAAATTTTCCATTTTTTGATTGATTTCCCTTAAAGCATATCTTCATTGCTAGCTGCACTCTCCCTACCCCATTCCTTTTTATCATTCTCTGCCTAAACTTCTTCATTCACAGTATTTCACAGTCTCCTTTCTTTCCTTTAATCCACAATCACATCTGAGAAGAAACAAATACCCTTTCAGAGTGTATTACATTGAGAGTGAAATTACATGGAGACAATACATTGTCTCAGTTTCCTTCACTGTAGGCCCTACCCCTCCCAGTCTGCTCCTGATTCTTGACCTAAGAGCTATTCAGGATGAGAACTGATGAGCATATGGGAGCTCCTAAATCATGGCAGGTGAAGCTGCCATACACCTAACAGCAGTGGATCATCTCAGAGAAAAGGGTATCACCAACGAGCTTCCTGATTACTGCTAATCACAGTTTATGTATATTTGTCTGTGTTGGAAAGGAAAGCTTTGGATGGAAAGGAAAGCTTTGGGATGTACCCAAATGCAGACGGGTGGGCAGCACAGCAAACAGGTAGGAGGAGGCTATTTCAGCGTGGTGACAAAATGGAAAGCACCACAGCAGATGTCAGTGCCAGAGACGAACAAGACAGCAAGGCCATTGTCACCAGAGGAGGGGAATGGCAGAATCGGACCTAAATGCTGGAAGGAGCTATCGAGGGACTGTGGGAGGCGATATTTGATGCAGCTGATGGATGGGGAGAATTCAGTGAAAGGGAAGTTAAGGCCTTGGGAGAAGCACAATGTATCGCTGATTATTTGGCGATACACTGACACGAACTTTCAACGACGGGCAACAGGCCTTGGCCGGGGCTGTGTTTGCGATGGCCGCACTTTGCAGTCACGACACGGCAGGCATCTGCCTTCTGTCCCTTGCAGGATTTCACACATATGAAACCGGGGCAAAACCCTGCAGGCTACCAAAGGCCCACGGGGCTCCTGCCGGCCCCCACCCACCACCCCGGCTCCGGGGCACCCCACGCCATGAGGGGCGGCTCGGGCAAAGCCCCCCAGCTTGTTGCGGGGGGCAAGAAGCTGTAGCCGAGCCCCGGGCACGCCGCCAGACCCCGCTCCCCTCCTCCGCCCCGCAGCCACCCCCGGCCCCGGGGCGCTGCCGCCTTCCAGCTGCCTCCCAACCCACCCCCAGCCCCGCCGGGCCGCGGCCGCGTACCGCCAGCACGGTGAGCAGCGTGGTCTTGCCCGAGTACTGCAGCCCCACCAGGGTGAGCTCCATCTCCTCCTTCCAGAACAACGAGCGCAGCCACTCCAGCAGCCGCGCCACCAGCGCCAGCATCCCGGCCAGCGCCCCCGACCTGCGGCAGGCGCCCAGCCCCAGCGGCACCGCCTCGCTGCTGGGCATGGGGGCGGCGGGCTCGGGACGGCGAGGAAAGGGGACCGGGGAGGCGAGCCGGAGCCTTCCCCGTGATGGCGGCGCCGCCGCCGCCCTTCTCCCGCGGCCACTTGCTGCAGCCAGGGGAGGGGTTTGGCCCGGCCAGGGGCGGGGGAGCCCCGCGAGGGACCCGGCGGGGAGGAGGCGGCGGCCGGGTGGGGTGGCGGGGACCGCCCGCAGCGGGGCGGCTCCGCCGTGAGATGGCGGCGGGGCGCGGGCGGACCCCGAGGGGTGAAGGAGGGGCCCGGGCGGGGATGGCCCCGGGGTCGTCACATCGCCTGTCACATCTCCTGGCACATCTCCTGTCACATCGCCTGTCACATCGCCTGTCACAGAGTCTGTCACATCGTCTGTCACCCCAGGGCATCAGGCGTCTCCAATGTGGGGTGCCCTGTGGGACCTCACGGGCTGTGTCCGCCTGGCGCTGTGGCGGGGGGCACCGCAGGCCTCGGGAAGCAGCGGGATGGCCCTGGGGTCGCTTGGCTGGTGGTGGGCAGGCTGGGCACAGCGAGGGCCCTGCGGGGTGAAACAACCGGTCTGTGGCTGGAGAGTGCTGTGAGGGGGCAGGACAGGGTGTCCCGGAGCCCCCCAGTGTGGGCATGCAGCTGGGACCGGGATTCACCATCCCACAAATTGCAGCCATGCAGCACTTGTTTATAAGATTTGGAGGACTCAGTCTCCTTTGTGGGATCTGTTTTGTAGTTCCACCTCCCATGATGACAGTTCTCATAGCCCTCGTGCTTCCACTTTCCGCGTAAAAGTCTTTTCCTAAATTGTTCTCTGCATGGGGACAGACTGGCAGTTCTAGGCTTAGCATGTTTTTATTTGGGTTCTTCTCTGACAACGTTTGGAGAGTCTCCCTTAACATGCTTCCCTGCCTCAACAGGAGATGCCTGTTATGGTTGTTTTGCATAGCTGGCAGTGACAAGATATGCAGCATCACAAGGAGTTGTCGTTTGCCTGTGCTAGGTAAGTGGCATTTAGCATACTGTCTTGCCACACAGCATTAAAGAAAGGCTTGTTTTCCCTAAAAATACAGAGGTAACGCTTAACCCGGATCCATCTGCTAAGCTCAGAAGTTGTCATTTAAATTATACATGATACTCTAGGACGTTACAGTGCTGGGTATTGGTTGATGAACTTTTTTACAGGTATAAGCAAAGCACTTCAAAAATGTAATATGGATATTTCTACCTTTGAGACATAGCAAATTCATCAAACCATTTAGAAATTCATTTTTCATGCCTATTTAAAAATAGAATTCGTCATTTTCCAAAATGCAGTTTGTGACAAAGCTCCCTGGTTATGTCCATCCAATAACTGGAAGTTGTTGTGACATTACTGTCAAGAGCAATTGATTCTGGGCTAGCTGTAAAGGTGAAAGATTTTTATGCTTCTTCATGCCCTGGTCATATATACAGTCAAAATGACTCATAATATAATTCTGTGATTTTTTGATTTTTTTTTTGGTAGATATTTATTTATCCTTGTAAATTCAATTGAACATTTTCAGAAGAAAATAGGGTGCTGGAACTGGCCTCGCCACCCAACGTTAGTTCTAGAAAATTGTTTTTCATTGCTTCTCTTATTAAAGTCTGAAAGAAAGCAGATATTAACTAAGTGGCAAGTCCCAAACAAATAAGAGGAGGCTTTTTTTTTTTTTTCATTAGCATAAGGTGTTGCCCTTGATACTGATATAGTCCCTTTGTCTTAAAGCTATTTCCTAATTACTCTTGATTCCCCAGTTTTGGGGGCAAGGTTCTGGGCTAGAAAGACTGATCATTGGATCTGATATGACCATTCTTATGTCATTGGGAATTCGTATTTTTAATGCTAATGTTATTTTCACAGCTTTTTATACTCATGGATAAACATAGTAAACTGGAGGTTGTGTGGCTCAGCAACTGAAACAATTGTTTGCTCATACCTAAGACTGACTCCACTTAAGAGTTGTGTAATCTTATGTTTTTCTGAGTTTTGGAGTTTGCACTCAAGAGATGGGAGTTGCACTAATTATTTGTGTTTCTTCTTACTATGGTAGTTCACTGGTCTCAATCCTTTGTGCTAAGTATAGGGTGAAGTTAAAATGGGGAAGCATTAACCTCAATGGTTCATAAATCTAAATGAACAATATGAGAAGTCATGGGAGGAGCTTACAGGCTGCCAACAAAGATATAACTTCAATGACTTTTCTTAAATAGAGTTGTGTCCTAAGCAGAACAACTAGTGAATTTAGTTTCTTAAGGAGCTAAGAACCATAAACTCCTTCTTTTCTACAATAACTCCACTTTTCCTCTGTCTCCATGTCCCCACTGTTACCTTGTTGATCCACAGCTACATACACCCAAGACTAACTGCCTTCAGCAAACAGAATACAAAATGGCCAAGTTGTTTGACAGATAGAATACTTGTAGTTCATTCAGTGGAGAAACTTGTTCACGTTCTTCTCCCATATCAACCACTACCTCTTTTGAAGTTTGTAGAAACATGACAGATTAAAACTTCTGCCCATGGTAATTGAAGTTGTTCTTAGGGTTTAAAAAGCACTATGAAAATGGTTGGTCAGGCAGCTGGTAAAGTTGTAGACAAAACAACTTCATAAGTCTCTTTTTCTTAGGTAAGAAATTAAGATAGAAAATGGTGTAGTTAATTTACAAGATGAAAAGCTTTGGTGTTTTTGGTTAAAGCTAGAATTTTAGATGCTGCTCTTAAAACTGAGGCAGTAGTGGTGTCTTCAGGCAATTTCAGAGCATGGTACAGCTCTCAAAGTTTTTTGAAACGGTGACACGATGGAAGGAAGGAACTTGATCAGGTCCAACACTGAAGGAGCAGGTAACCAAAATCAGCTATTTTACTTGCTTCTTGGGAGCAGCAAAATGGTCATTCAATATATACATACTGTCCTCAGCCAGCAGTCACAAATTAACTAGCTGATTACCATTTACTCTAAACGTAAGCAGGGGGATCACTGGAGACATGAGTGGAAAAGTTGAGGTGGGAAGTAGGCTGTTCTTGTTGGATGGGTAAACAGATTTGGGGAAATAATTCATAGGCAAACCACTGTTCTTTTCTTTTCTGTTATGAATCTTGTTATTTTTAAAATCTTGTTTCAGCCAAGGCAGTTATCGATTTTTGAATGACTAGATGAAATGTTCCTGGCTGCATTCGAACTGAAAATATAAGAATTTCTCCCTCATCCACATCACCCAGCTGGCAATGTATGGACTAAAGATGGGCCATTTGTAAGGGTAGTTTCTGTGAATGAAGGGGTTCTGATTACTGCATGAGGGAATACTCACATAAAATAGAGCAGTCTATTTTTTCAAGAATTTTTCGATGATGAAGGAGTCCTTAAGGCCCATAGTCAAGCTTAAAGAAACTATATTACAGATACAGTAGCATATTCTGGAAATAAAAAATAAAAAAAATAAACTATCATATCCTAGTAATAGGCCAGCAGAGTATAGGCAGGTAAATTTTAAGACACTAATTCAGCCTACACACCAACTGAAATCTGTTACAGCATTTAGGGGATTGAAATATATTAAAAATTCTTGGAGTATTTGTCCAAGTTCAAAGATCTGTAATATTGTTTTAAAATCTTTTATAATGTCCCTACTTTTGTGATAAACTATATGACAGTGAAAGGCAATTCTTTAGTTTACAGACTGCTTGATAATAGAATATTGTAAAAATATTGCTACCTTGCTACAATGAGCATCTCAAAGGGCATTTGTTCTTGTAGTTAAAAGCCTGAGCAGGGGCACAGAAGGCCACCATTCATTATTCCATGTGACTCTAGGCAAGCCACTTAATCTCTCTGGAAACATTTAACCACTGATAAAATATTTCATTTTTCTGTCTTGTCTATTGAGATTTACACACTTTGGGAACAGTGTAGCTGTGTTATGGTGACATGTAGCACATAGGGTATTGAGACTTGGAAGTGCTCTGTCTCTGAAACAATAATAAAGCAGATCACGCCATTGCAGAGACTCACTTGTGCTATAAAAAATTTAGCAATAGATCTTATGTTTCAAATGATGATGATGGTGATGCTATAAATGTGGTCAGAAAAATTTGACCTGAACCAACACTACAGATCCAAACATTTGATCAATATAAGATGTTTGTGTCTCACATCTTTAGTTCTGACTACTACCAAAGAGATCAGATCTGATTGTCTGTAGCATAAGCATGGTTATTAGTGACAGCTGTAGATCTTAATGAGAAGTCTTCAGCTGAATGAAGTCTCTGGAGAGGAGAACGTGAGAAGTGATGTCTCACTTTGGTATTTCCAAGTTTGTCCTGATATACCAGAGGCTTAAAAAAAAAAAAAAAAAGTAGAATAAACTATACATCTTTTCTGCTAATGAGGCACTGCATGGGTTAGGCACTGGTCTTCCCTTAGTAGGCAAGAGTCAAGCAGCTGCTTTGCTAAGGATAATGGAAAGGCTGTACTGAAGCTCTCAGTGAAAGCATTGTACTGTACCCGTTGGTGTTTATGTGCATCAGCCGTGCCCTCTACTGGCTGGAACCTCAGAGCCTCTGTAGTTAAGAGAGTAAATTATTAAGAGACATCTTAATAATTTTTCTCATACTCCAGTAAAGAAAGGAGTGAAAAATCACTTAAGCATGGATTGTCACACTGACAGAGTAGGGCAGATTAAGGTTTTTAACTCAAGAACTCTTTAGTTTGGTATATGCAGAATGAAAACTTAAACTACGCATTGGATTTACAGACAGCCTGTTTGTATATAATTAGTCCAGTGCCCTTAATTACTAGTTGGGCCCAGCAGTGAGGTACTTCCTACTTTGTTGTGGCATGAACAATACTGTTATTACGGAACCACAGGGTTCCCTTAACCTCCCTTTTAAATGAGGGGTTATTAGGTCCCTGCCTCAGGAAACCATCACTTGACACTGGCAGGCTATCATCTTGTCTCAACCTGGTAGTAGCCTGGGGGAGCAGTATGCTCCAGAAGGAGATTGCCAACATATGGTGTATTTCTTCTGCACAATCTTGAAGTTCTGTTGAATAGATGTGCTTCCTGAGATGAAAACAAAGGCACATAAAGGACACTGCACCTTGTTTGAGGTCCATGTATGCAGCTGAACACCCTTCTCCACAGTCGTGTGCATAGAAACAAAGTGTTTGCTCAACATACAAAGTAGTGATTCACATTAATTTTCATACTGTCTGTTCGTGTCTGATTACTAATCAATAAATACCTAATTAGTTATAAACTAAGGGATATACAAGGATACACTGAAAAATGTCATCTAATTACTACTGCCAAGGAGAAATATAATCAATATACAGTGATGGTGATAACACATTAGTGAACATAATGAAATCCTGAGTTAATTCCCTTAAGGATGCTAATATTGATAGTTGCCCTTTACCTCCCTGCCCTTTACTTTCTCATATGTAATGAAGGGACAACAAATGCAGGAGGATTTTGCAGTCCTGATTGCTACTGACAGCGAGGAGAAAAGTATCTGCTGAAGGTTTAGAACACCTACAGAAGAGAACTGTTCTCTAAAGACCCAGCTCCTTTGACTGGCAGACACAAGAACTGAGGATTGACCTCAAATACTTTATGTTTCCATAATCTTTCATAAAGAGAAATATCATGACGGTGGGTTAAAATTTCAGTGGAGTCTTTCCAGCAAAATTGGCAGAAGGGTTTGGGATAGCTACATTGCAGGAAATACTTAAAACTGTTAAGGGGTGAAGTTAGATCAGTTAACTTTTTGAATCTGTTTCTAGCCACCTATACACTATTTTTTTAGTTAGACAAGAAAAAACCTGCAACAAAAGAATTGTAAAAAAAATATTTATTTAAGAAAGATGAAGTCTTAGTTCAGTAAAGCAGTAAATTTTTTTTTGAAACCATACAATATTACTTTGCATTGATATTATTCTTTGGAATGAAACTCATGACTGTGTTGAAATCTCAGGTCATAATCTTGCAGACTGCTTTGCCTTGGCAGAGTGGGTATGTGCTAGTGTGAATAGGCTTGCCCAAACAGGCTGTGAAAAACCTTCCAAATATTTTTTATTGTGTATGCTTGAAAGACAGAATTTAGTTGTCTCCTTAGAAAGGTCACTTGTGCTTTGTAATTGAATATATTTCAAAATTATGTAAGTGACTGCTGTGCTGTTGTTTGTAATGTTATGTGATGGATAGATACATCTACAAATCTAATCTGTGTCTGGGAGTTGCCTAGTCCATTTTATACAGGCCTGAAATCTTCCACACAACTCTTTGCTTATGTATACACAGCAGGGTGTCCCAGTATGGTGCAAGCATTAACGCAAATTTTCCTGGACTCTTTGGGATGCTAGTCACAACCTACGCTGTCTGCAAAGTGGTCTTATCGGCCTGTCTCTCAAAATCTCTTTGTGCAGTGGTTATTTTTTGAACAGAGAAGCAAGAAAGAAACTGTAAGGGATGGACTAGACTATGATTTCACTTCCGCTCAAATTATGTAAAAGCCAACAACCATCTCTCTTGAAAGTGCTAATATTTTTGGGTGTCCCAGAATAAGCAACACAATAAACCAGATCCAGATTCTTCACACAGAGAAGCAGAATTTTAATGAAAATTTTAGCAAAATTTTCACTAAGAAGAGCACTGATGGTATTTCAACATCTTTCATTTATACCTCTTCATTAAACCCAGTTTAGCATTCCCCAGCCCCGGACTATTGCCAGCCTCCATTCTACATGGAAGTGTGAAGTACAAAATAATGAATAGTAATCAAAGTGAAATGATTGTTCATCTAGTATTTCATCTTCTGAAAAATATAAGAACATCAGAAACTGAAACTATAAGGCTACAGAGACAATGATTACAGGATGTGCAATTAATGGTAAGTGATTTTCGTTTTTGTCTGCTTTAGGAGAATACAAGTTTGGCTTTGAACATAAGTCACCAGCAATGGAAGGAGCAGTTTTCCTTTTCCTTCTTTTCTCCTTCCTTACTCCATGAAAACTCTTGCTGACTCCATGGTGACTCTGACATAGAAAGAGGCAAGACAAACATAATGCAGAGCAAAATAATGTGTTTGGAAAATACTGTAATTACACACAGTAGCTAGGTGACCTGAATCTCACTATGACATGAAGTTTGCAGGATTGAAAGCACGAATTCCAGATACATGTAGGTGACATAAGTATCCAAAATGAATATTCAAAAGGTGGTTGGTACATGAGAGCACAAGATAACTATGGATGGAACTTAGGAAGATGCATTTCTGTGGACAGTTTATTGTGATGGCCTGCTTTACTCTCATTTTTCTATCCTAACTGCTCTCAGGAAAAAGATCAGATGGATGGATCTAATCTAGCATATCAATTACTGTGTTCTTTTATCTTTATAGTGGGAATTGGGAAAAGATTGTCTACATTAAGTACCAGGTAGATAAAAACTGTGGTGCACAAAGACTGACCTGTCCATGTTCACTACTGCTTCACTCTTTCACTTCTGCAGTTCACTTCCTTTGCATCTATTGGGAGGTCCTAAATGCTCTATCTTAACTCTTCTACTCATTCCTACTTCTTTCCTCATGATTTCATCCTCTCCCCAACACCCTGCTTGCTATTACTTGGCTGATAGTCAATGATATTTATGGCAAGACTCATAGGATTTTGTTATCCTGCAAGCTCTCTTATCACAAAGTAATACAAATCCAGTGTCTTCCAGAGAGCCAGCTGTTTACAGAGAAGCTTAACCTCAGGAAACTTGTGATTTAACAAAGTGATGCAGCCTTTGAACTAAAACTCTATATGCCAACACAAAATTTTAGCTGTGTTAAAGGGTTCTGCTGAAAAAATAAAACTTCATATAAGTCATACAAAATATGCTAAGACATTACAAGTGAAGTTTAAAGCTTTTAGAAATCCTTTGATAGTTATCACAGGTTCAACAAGAAACAGAGGGACCTCAGATGCAGCAATAATGCAGAAGGTATACAATGGCTTTTATTTACCCAAGGTCAAACAAACATTGTCAAAGCTGCAGTGAAGAATCTACATTTCTACAGAGGTGATCAAAGCCAGAAGGCTTCTTTGGTACCAGAAAGTTTGCTACAAATATAGTCTTACTCATTAGTCTGCTTGTAACATTGACAGTAGGAATAGCTTTGACTTTTGGACTCAACAGCATAAATGCAATGAGAAAATTGTCACTTTCTTTTTATAACTTGCTGTCCAAAAGCCATAAAACATTATTACTCCATGTTAAATCTAAAGCCTTCATCTATTTTTCTGCACATCTGTTATGACTGACAATCTGAGAATTTGAAGGCGTTGGCTGTCATATGGGTTTTCTGCTGGATTTAGGCATTAACTTTTTGTAAGTAAAGGGCTACTATATTGACATTCCAGGTAGTTCCATTAGTGAGGCACGTTTTATCTGTGGGAGGTGATGATTTATTTATGCCTAGCTCTAGGGAGATTTTTTTAATCTATCCCTGCCAGCAACCACTCTTTACCCATTAGAAGTCAAGCCTTCTGTTAAGCATCTGACATAACAATTTGGAAATATTATTTTATCAAATGAACTGCAGTTAATTGCTTCTAAATGCTTAAGCTGTACATAAATCATAACTGGCCTCAATGTGAAACTGGAATGTTTTCCTTCTGAGGTATATATGCTACTTCAATGTTGCTTTTGTCAATAAAATAATACTAGGCAAAGAGCCTTACTGTAGTTGTGATGACACTGTGTTTATGAGTGGGTATTGACATGTCTTTGACTTGAGTAACTGATTTTCTCTGAATCCAGTGCAGAATACACAAGGTTCTTTCATGTCTCTCCTTTGCAAGGAACATACAAGCCATATGATCTCTGCAAGACAGCTGAACATCTTCAGTGAAGGCATGGGTCTTTTGTGCTTGCCATTTCTCTTCGGAGCTGAAAGAAAGTGGTTTCACCCTGTGGCCTGGCGTGCAGTGTCCCCAGTGGCATGCTTTTCATGTCTGTCTTCCACCAGACTCTTCTCCAGATACAGGTATTACCTCTTTCACCGTCTTACCTATCAACTGCTGTCTGCCTTTCTTCCCTGGCTAATGGCACGTGGCAGTAGTGCCCCCTCTGAGAGAGCGCTCGGTGGCACGCAGTTTTCTGTGCACCAGGGCAGGTGGTTTGGGGTTTTGTGAACAGAACAGATCAAAAAGTCGGTCCTGAGATTACAGATCACAGACACTGAAGGTGAAGAAGGAGAGTCCCAAGACCCCAGCATCACTGCATCTTCCACTGTTGAGTTTTCCTACGGAACAAACTGGCTTCCGTCAAATAGCTTGGTTAGGAAATAGGCAGGCATAGAGAAGGCACACAGCCTCTTGTCGCAATGGCACAGAGACAGTCACATGCACTGGATAGGGCTGGCTGAACGGAGAAACCAGGACTGGTGACCAGTGTCAGCAAGGAGTAAAGAAGCAGATCAGATGAGTTATGTGCTGGGCAGACAAAAGAACTGAAAGCCAAGAAGGGGAAATCTGAAACAAAATGTGGACTTGGGAGAAGAAAAGGAGAAGAAAGAAGGAAGAATTAATGGCTACAGCTCAAATTTTAAATAATGAAGCTGTAATATTTGAAGACAACATTTACATTAAAGCTAAAAACTTTTGAACAAGAGTTCGGAATATACATAATTAAAAGGAAAAGCACACTGTCCTTGTAGATATTGTGAAAAGTGAAAAAGGGTCACATTAATCAAATAAATTTTATGCTGCCAAGTCCCACAGATTTACAGTTAAGCCACATGTTTTTAATAGCTAGTATTCATATGGAATGAAATTAATTTCTGCATAGAGCATCAAACCTGTTGACTGCTCAGAATGAAGTATGGATTGTGATGGATTTAACTGGTTTAACTTGTTGTATATAAAATGGCATTATCAACAAATTTATTTTTCAAACGTAACCGTTAAAAATGTTAACTGTAAAAACAACTTTCTCATTCTGGATTATCCTTTCGTAGGTATAATCAGTATATACAGACTAGTATATTTTTGGCACAAATAGTAGTTTATAGAACTAAACTGGAGAAATAACATTCAAATTGAAATGTCACCTAAGGAATAGAAAAGGCTACCTGTTACAGATAAGACCACAAAGCTGCACCTATTTTACACCTTTCAGGAGTGATTTCTCTGTGCAAGTAAAACCTTTAGAATTTCAAACACAGCTAGGGGAAAAGAATATTCTCACTTTCATGAGTCATTTATATTAAGGTTCTAAAAATCAGAATTAAACAGAGCAGATTAAACATCCTTATTTTATAGGGCGAAGAACTACTGAAAGTACGAGTGTCATTTGCTTCTACATCATATATAGTGGCAGCCGTGACAGCGTTATATTCTGCAGCAGTTATATGGAGTATATTATTTCCAATGTCAGGTTGGAAGTCTTCTATTTCAGGATGTGTCACCTTACTCTGAGAGGTAAGTGAAAATACTGTCCTGTTAGACAGGATCTTTTCATCAGAAGCTTCTATATTAGAAAGTGAATTTGAGGATATCTGAATGCAAATATCTTCTGAAATGCAAGCACGGAGGTATTGGATGTCATTGATATTAACTCTAGGTTCACAAGTGTGCCCTGCATAACAGTGGCAGTCAAATTTTTCTATGAATGTTTGTAGATCCTGAAATGCTGGTTGCCCCTGTAAAGTGTATTTTCCATCCTTTGTCATTTGAATGACAATATTCTTGGGGTTCAAGTGAAGATAGTCACTGGAATTCCATTTTTTCCGTGCACAGGCACCAGAATCTTGGCATAATACTTGGCTACAGATTCTGGCTGCCATTGTGACATTGATGAGGTAAGGAGTCAAAGTCCTCCTAAGGTAGTTGTCCAGAGTCTTACAGGTGTTCTGTAAAAAGAGCATCATATCTGAAAAGTTTAGTGCAGAAACTAATAAAATGTTGTTATTATAATAACAGTACTGTAGTGGACATCTATAAACGTTTATCCTGAGGTTTTGATAATAGTGGTAACTGCTTGTTGGAAGCAGGATTTATGAGAAAGTTGCTATATAATTCAAGGATCACAGTAAGCTAATCTCAGGTGGTTGTTGAGTATGTTACTAAAAGCACTTGCATTAGAAAGTAGATAACTTTAAGCTTTCACTTTATCTGTATGACACTTCCTGTAGTACTTTGAATCAGATGCATTTTTAAAAGTTCCTTTTTATGTGTCCTAAATATTTTGAAGGGATCTTGAAGGGAAAAAAAATACACAAAACATTTCTTCAACCTGAACAAATAATTTTTCTATTACGTCATCCTGTGATACTCTTCAGTTTTCCCTGACACAAGCAGCTGGCTGCAGGAATAGGGACCTTTCACAGCATTTTTGAATGGAACGCATTTTGGGAGGATGGTCAAAAACCATGTTAGGGTAACATCTAATTGATGAATCTGGCATATATTTTGTGCATGCGTGGCACAGTATAATAACTGGAGGTTTGTTGAACTCTTTTGTTTCTGAATCTATGTTTTCTTAGGGCCATTTACCCAATACCACACATAAATACATAGAAAAATCTAGTTACACCCAAGGAGATCATCTCAATGAATCTGAGGTATATGTAATTGTTTTTCTTTTACGGTATATCTAAAATCCGTGCCTAGAAAATTTTGGTTTATCCAGTTCATGCAGAAGTGAGGCTCGCAGTAATATTTCATTGCTGAGACACCACAGACTGTGATACCCTTGAAAAAAGGTGCCATTAGTGCATAAATGCATAGTCTGGCTGAGCTGTAGAAAATCCTGTTTGCTCACTTAAGTTTCAAAATTTGAAAAATCAGAGTTGATATGCTTTCTCATACAAAGAATGGTCAGTGGGACACTTCTGAGAATTTGACCCTTACAGAGCTGTGGAGGTTTATTTGGCCATGCTGTCTGTGACAGTAGTGCTTCAGCAGTGCTGAAGATTTTTGGTTCTTTGCTCCTAAAAGGCTTCAGAAGTGTCTTCCCATACAGTAGTTTATTTTATTCAGTTTGCCTGGGTATGAATGAACTAGTTCAAATATTTGAATGTCCTTACAACAATGTTTCTCAAAATGTGTTTTTGACCTTCCTAAGACAATCTGATTTTTTTTCCTCTTCTGACTCAGACCTTTCTTATCATGGAATTAGTCAAAGTAGTACTTACAACACACAGAACAGGCTAGAGCTGATATTTCTCATGCTGACTCCTAGTGTTTCCCAGTGTTAAATATTATTGCCAAGTGCACCATTTTAAAAATAAAAAGTGGAAGTTTTTTTTTAAGAATTGTTCTGTGCAAGTTCAAGTATTTTTTTTCTGTACCTCGCGAATGGAATGTATGAAGATATGGAATTCTTTCCTTAAGTTAAGTGAACAGGTGGTGACTCACTTACAGTTATCATAGTAGCTTGTCCAGTTACTCATCACCAACATTGAAATTTCAAAAAATTGAACTCTTATTCTGTATAGTCAATGGCAATCTTCAAATCCTGATTATAGTTTTTTTGCCTTTTTGTTTGTTTTTGTTTGTTTGTTTGTTTTTATAATTAGTGAAGACAGTAAGTCTGCTGACAATATGGATTCATTTTTAAAGTAGAAGATATGATGTAAATAATTACAATGTTTTATATCTTTTTCACTTTATTTTTTCTTTAAAAATGTCATATTAATCATTAATCTGGCATACCTTACTTTGTGTTAAATTCAGATCGCCCCAGATCACGACTCCAGAAGCACCCAGTGCAGCAGACTCTCCAATGGTATTTACCAGGTCATCCTGAGAGTGAATGTGGAAAGAATCCTACTGATGTAAGTAAGCTATAACATATGGGCAAAAGGTATAATACGTATAGTAAATTACATAGCCAAAATAACCACTCTGAAAACAGCAAGCAATTATGCACAATGCAAACATTCTGCTCAGAATTACACTACGTTATTATGGGATGGAGTTGAGCAGGTGATACTAGAAAATACTGCCAACTATCTCCAGTGTATATATGTCATCTGGTTAGAAAAACATGACTGTAAAACTGAGCCAGTGGTTTGGCCCATGCACTCCACCAACCATCTTAAGATTTATTTTGCTGCATTGCTTCCTGACTGCTCAACTGGTAGTAACCAATTTCACTAATGCTGCCTGAAGCAGAGGCTGGAAAGCACAGGTGGGTGGGTGGGAGGAGGGAGGTGTCTGGTTCTTATTATTATTATTTTTGGTTGGTTGGTTTGGTTTGTACTTAATTTCAGTTACCAGAAAGTGCTGAAGCTGAAAAGTAGCAAGAGAATAGCTTTCACCAACATCAATCTATTTTCTCAGGAGGATGCCTCTGGCCTTTTACAGAGATTGATCTGGGAAATTTGTTTCTGTTCAGCTCTCTTTCTAGAGTCAGCTATTAGCCCAGCACTAACAAAACATGAAAACCCATGTGGGATGGGAGAGGACTATGGATAGAAAAAGAACAAGGAAAAAACTTTCTGTGGAGAACAACATGAAAAGGAAGGATGTGAGGGTTTCAGTGAGTAACAAGAAACCCATCAGGGACTGTAACAGCACACCCTCTTCCTCAAAGATATATACAGAGCAGGGGGAAATGCTCAGTGATGCTCCAACTAGGATGCTGGAAGACACAAGGCAGTCACCAGGACCACTTCCCCTGACTTCCCCTTCTTTGTGACCTGGATGACCAGGAAGAGGTTTTACAAAGTGGTGGTATCAATGATAGCTTATATATAAAAAAATATTAAAAGGTGTAGCCAGGAGTGTAATAAGATGGTTAGACCTTAAACAGAGGCTAACCTTGACAAAACCGTGAGATGCTGATATGCCATTTAGGAGGCTACCCCAGTACACCTAAGGACAGAATTTCCTCACCAGCTTTAAAACCCATTTACCAAAGAATCAGCAAACTTAATGTCCTTGCTTTGATTTTTAAAAATTGAATTTTGCATCAGTACTTCAAGTCCTAGACAGGCAAGGAAGTTCTTTGACTTTAGAGAACTAATTAAATTATCATCAGAAAAATCAGATGAATTGGGGTGGAAGAAGGGTAATTTACTGTTTAAGAACTCCTGCAATAGAAGTTGTCTTAATATGCACCTCGTAATTTCAAAAGAAGAAAAAGGTTAACTTTCTGGACACGGAAGTGATTGCTGAGTGACCTCTCATTCTCCAAATGTACACCGAGGAGTGGGAGAGGCATGAAAGTATGAAAAGATCTTACACCAATCATCTTTAATGTCCTTCTACAGTCCTCTTACAAAAGCAGAAGAAATATATCTCCTACTTATCAAAGTGAAGAGCAAAGAGTAAGAAGCACTTCTATAATAAAAAATAAAGATTTTTTTTAAAAATCACTTTTATTGTTTTTCCTTATAACTTTTAAAAGCAGACATTTGGCCAGCCCAGTTTTACAAATTCTCTTGGAAAGGTTATTCTTTCCTCTGAGTTAACATACTAAATTATGCTTTTTAGCTTACATTTTGCAACATGTGAGGACTGTTCAGAGGGCAAATTATTATTTAGTAAATAATTAGTAATTTCATTAGGAAGGCTTGAAAATAAACCTCTTACTGTTCAGTTTGCACATATTTAGTTGATAGATTAATTTATTTTTATGCAAAATCTACATTTTTTTTTTCCTGAAACAAATTAGTATCTTTGCTAAATAAGTGTCACCTAGTAATTTCTTTCCACTTCAGTTTGAAATATTTAAAGTGTAGCTCCACTCACCTGAGAGAGATATTCCTCATAGACATCGGTGAATACTGGTCGTGTATATACAAAAACTGGAAGGGGGTAAGTAGAATTGGAGACATACGAAACTCTAATGGCTTCTTGAACTCTGTTGCGAACAAAGAGTTGGGCATTTCTGGAAGATCTTAAGGCTGTCTCTAGATAGACAGATGGATAAAGTGCTGTGCTTTTCTCCCACAACCAATTAAGCTCATTATTTCTTGCTATTTCAATATCCAAACAGGTTCCTGTATAATTATGTGGGTTTTGTTTGTAATCATAGTTATAACAGTCTGGGTAAAGGTAGTATCCCCATAGACGTTTTGGTTTCATTGCTATGCCCAGCTTCAAAGACTCCAACATAATAGATTTTGCTGCAGCTTCAAATTTCATTTTAGCTGTAGTCCTGGCTTCAGCTTCTGATAGACTTATGTCTCTCTGCTGAACGAGATCAATGGATTCCTGTCTATAAATGTCTTTTGATCCCCAATTCCTTATCCACAGAGGTCTCCAGTTTTCCCAGTCAATGACAGCCAATCCAGATTGTTCATCTGAAGGAATATAGAACTGGATGTCCTCTTTGGCTTTTTTTAAATGATTCTCCAGCTGCAAGAGTTGGGGGAGTCCTCCATTGAATGCCTCTCCTGTGATTTCGTTTATGTAAGGATAGTAACCAAGCCTGTCTGGGTAGAATAGAGTAATGTTTTGTCCAATGGATGTCTTCAATGTACTTCCAATGAGAGAAAAAAATGTCATATCCAGATGCACTCCAGTCCTTTCAGAACAAAGTTCTGTAGGAGCATTCCAGATAGAAAGGAATGGTGAATTAGAAATAAGTGGACGAGCTCTTATGTTCAGAGATGAGCAGCAAGAAACTAGAACAGTGGCGAACACCATACCGGATGCTATGGGATACATACAAGTAACACGAATTCCAAAACTTTGTATTTGTCTTAGAGTTTCCATTGTAACAATTGCAGTGGTATTAAGTGCTTCTGATCCAACAAAAATTAAATGCTCTCTGGGTGTTGACAAGCTTGATAGTCTGTCGGAAGCTTTACCATATAATATATTTCTTCAGATTAAAGCTATTAAGCAATGTTCTTGAGGTGTAAAATCAGCATGTCCTTTATGCAAGGCTTTCTACCATTTCAGACTGGAGGAAAAGTCTGAACAATTTTTAAAACCTAATGCAGAAAAAAAGAAGAAAAAAAAAAAAAGATAAAGTAAGCGGGGATAAAGTAAAAAAAGATAAAGTAAGCTTTTCTAACTGTGAAACAAATACCATTTATGGTTTTGAACATATTGTCATCTTTGAGTAAAATTCCCTCTTGAAGGAAAAGCACAATGTACAATCTTAGAGGACATAAGTACATGTATGTAAGAACAGTGAAAATTGTCAGTGAAATAGTATACAGTGAGTTGTGAATCAGAATGAGTATGTTTGGTAGTTTTGATTGTGGCTGTGAATGATGTCTGTAAACATGAGCAGTCTCACAATGTCTTCTGTTAGTCAACAGTAATCTATCAGTAATAATTCTCACTTATCTTAAAATATTAAAGTTTGAGGTCTTAATTGATTAATTGTACAGAGCACTTAAGGGAAGATCCAAGATAACACAAAATTGGAACCCAAACTATGGCTTACATCCAAGAAAACAATCTATATAAACTCATTTAACTCAGTGAGGTATCCATGATATGATAGACACTCTGTCTTCTGTCCAGAAGTTTTTAAACAGGTTCAAAAACTGCATATAATCTTGGCATATGGCCATCTATCTGTAGCTTGAGACCATTTGAGATTTACAGATTTAGTGACGCAAAGGCCAAGTCTACCTAGGAATGTAATTCATTAGGAAAGCTGAGGTTGTCCATGCATACACAATGAGCAGTCACACTTACTTTTATTCAAGAACATAATAGCAGTGGTGGTTGTCATGGTGTGGTCAACTTTTACATAGCAGACAGACAGCTACAGCATTCCTCTGTGCAGAAGCTTACCTGAATCCACTTCCCTCCTGATTTTGAGACAGTTCATATCTGGATCTGTCACTTCCCCTGGCAGCCTCATGGTTAGGCCACAGAGTATCAAAGGCAGGTGAGAGCATGGAGGAAAATATGGGAGGCACCATGAAATGGGCCATAGTGTGTCTGGGAATGCCCATCACCCAGATAATTAATGAAGATGTTAAAGAGTGTTGGGCCCACAGTGAACCCTTAGTGTATATTACCAGAAACAGGCCTCCAGTGGACTTCCTGGCACTGATTACAGCCCTTAGAGCCTGCCAGTTCAGGCCGTTTTCAGGTTCACCATCCATATACCTAGCCTGTACTTCATCAGTGAGAATGCTATGGGAGAGGGTGTTGAAAGTCTCACTATAATCAAGATCAACAATATCCACTGCTCTCTCCTTGTCCACCAAGCCAGTCATCTCATTATGAAAGGCGATCAGGTTGATGAGGAATGATTTCCTCTTTGTAAATCTATGGTGACTACTTCCAGTCACCTTCTTGTCCTTAGTGTTTGGAAGAATTTTCCAGGATTATTTGCTTCATCAACTTCTCAGGGATCAAGGTGAGGTTGGGTTGACCAACTTGTAGTTCCCTGGATCTTTGGTTTTGCCCTTCTTGAAGATAGGGGTGACATTTTCTTTCTTCCAGGTCTCAGAACCCTCCCCCAGTCACCATGACCTTTTAAAGATTATTAAGAGTTAATAGTACTTGCAATGACATCAACCATCTCCTTCAGCACTCATGGGCATGTACCATTACATCCCATAGACTTGTATATGGACAGTTTGTTTAAATGTTCCCTAACCTGATTTTCCTCCACTGAGGGTGAGTCTTCCTTGCTTCAGTCTATATGGGTCTAAGGAGCCTGGGGTCCCAGAAGGCTAGTTTTTCCAGTAAGGACTGAGGTGAGGGCAGCACTGAGTATCTTGGCCTTCTCCATGTCCGTTACTACCAGATGTCCTGCCTCATTCAGCTGTGGACACACATTTTTCCTAGTCTTCCTTCAGCTGCTGATAGACCTGTAGAAGCTCTTCATGTTGCCTTTCACATCTCTTGCCAGATTCAACTCCAGGTGGGTTTTGCCTTTGTTAACACCATCCTTACACACTCAGACAGTATCCCTGCTCCCATCTCATGTGTGCTTCCCTTTATGTTTGAGCTTTGTCAGAGCTCCTTGTTCATTCATACAGGCCTCCTCTTAGATAGCTCTCCTGCATGAGGCAGGACCATTCTTGAGCCCAGAGAAAGTGATTCGTGAAGATTAAACAACTGTCCTGGACCTCTATTCTCACCAGGGCTATCTCAGAGGATGTTTCCAAGTCAATCTCTGAGAAGGCCTAAGTCTGCTCTCAAGGTTGTGGTCTTGTCTTGTTTTGCCTTGTTCCTACTTTTCAGGATCCTAAACTCTACCATCTCATAGGCACTGCAGCTAAGACTGACCCCAACCTTCACCTTCTGTATTTGTAACTCTGAGGTCCAACAGTATCTCTCCTTGCTGGATCCTACAATAACCAAACGAAGTGATACGGACTTGATACTGACATGATACGGACAGACTTCCAGGACAAAATAAAAACATTCCATAGAGAAATTTTGGACAAAAATATTTTGCACTTATGCAAATGCAACTTAATAAAATGAAATTAAATTATCACGCATAAAGAGCTGATATACACTGGCATTTGCCAAGATAGTGATCCTTCATGTAATAATTTTTGTCATACTGAAGTGGAATCAGCTTCAAAAAAGGAGTTGTAGTAGTAGTTCAGCCCTTATTGTGCCTCTGGCTCTGGCTATGAATGATTTCTTGCCTCCACTGAGGTCAGAAAACTACAGGATTTTTTTTTTTCTTTGTTCCTATAATCTTTTTCATAAGTGGATTTCATTAACGGGACATTGTTAAAGAGATTAAGAGGAAAGCATTGCTTTGAATACTGTATTTACTGATTTAGCTAGAACTCAGTTATTTATTATTGGCTAATCTTGCAAAGTTTAGTTTAACATTGTTGGGAAATAGTTCTCCAAACCTTGCTGTAATATACTCTGCTGGGTATAAGCTAATAGATTACTTTATGTGATAGCTTCCACTTAAAAGGATTGCCTTTAGCCCAACCTAACGATGACAGCTCTAATAAATGCTACTCTTTTCAGTCTCCTTGAATGCCAGTCTAAGCAAGCTGAGTAATAAAGCTGCTCTTGTCTTTGTCAAAAAGTCAATATCTTTACAATATATTAACACTAATTGCTCTGGGGCTATCTAACTAGAAGTACATACTGATGGATCTAAATGCCCTTCGTCTAAAGAAACAGCTACTGCTTTAGATTTTCCTGAATTTGGCATTTGTAAAGGTTGTATTAGAAGAAATCACAGGAATTTTATTGCTTTAATTATTTTATCATTTTTCACAGCATAAACTGACTGCAGAAACACACATGATTGAAAATACAAGTGTGCTCCCATATTTTGGAAGCTACGCTGTCATAGAACTGTGCCACGTTATGTGACCCTAAAAAAAAATGACCCACTTGGCCAAAAAAAAAGTTAGAAAATAAAAGGGAGAGGAGTACTTTATGTACACTTGAACTTCACACAAATATTATGCACCATAACCTGATTATATGTCCTATCAAAAATTATTGGATATGCTCTTTGGCTTATATTCCTGATGTGTTAGAAGAATTTAGCTTTTTTATTTTTTTCTTAGCTTTTTTTTTTTTTAATTAAAAATAAATATGAGACTCCAAGTTTAGCCTTGAAATAAATAGACATAACTTAGTCAAGTCAAGTGTATTTAAACTTGGAACCTGAAGTAGAATCTGAAGTTTGTTATTTAAACCAAAAGGTACCATCAATACCAATCAATACAGTTCATACGCTCATGGTTCCCTGAAAGAGGATCAAAGCAGTTCACACTGTTAGCAGTTCATGCTGTCAATATCGGTATTTTTAAGGGATCAGTAGAAAAAAATATGTGTGAAACCACTAGTGCTGCTGGAACTACAACCTAGAGAGGATTTAAACCATTGTGCTCCTTTTAGAGGTGCATATCCTGGGCGAGAGGCTGTTTGTTCATTACAGGCAGGTATTAGAGTCATAAATAGTCATCAGCAGAGCCATAGAAGGAATGGAAGAATAATCCTGCAACTGCAATGCACTCCCCACTTGGGTCATTTGGGAATTTCTAAAATAGAAGGCAATTGAATGATATTCAATTAACACAAACACACTCAGACATTGTGATAATAACATTAACGCTTGTGAGGGGTAAGAATCTCCTTGGGAAGAAGGTGCAGCTCGCTAAGCATGAACATATGTGCTGCACAGCTGATGACAAATTTAACCTGATCAAACATTAAACATGAAGGATGGCCTTCACATAGTGGGATTTAACCTCATTGTTAGAAATGGACTGAGATGCACTTGTCTGTAAAGTCAGAATTTGGTATGCATTTATTTTGACAGGTTTCTAAAACTCCATCCTCACTTCAGTATAATCTTCTCACTTGAACTCCTACAGCTGTCTGTGGGGTCACACGATGAGTCGCTCAAGTTAAAAGCACCTCAGCCAAAAGGGAAGAGAGGAAGGTTTTTTTTCTGACTAACTACACAAACCAGCAAAACTGGCTAGTTTAGCCAGCACAGATGATTTAAGAAATGCTTGCCAAACTACACCCCAGTGCTGTAGCTGTCCTTATCATCAATGACTGCCAAAACAGTGCTTTCATGATTGCTTACTCCCATTCTTTAGTTCTGCTTTTGAGTACAAGGCAATGGTTGTGTGAGGACCTGAAGCCTGAGAAAACCTCCAAACAAATTTCTGTGCTGGTATTCCCAGCTTGAGAGGATTTTAAGTTGCCCATGGAAGAAATCAAAATATGTGGATGTTGTAAAGGTCAGCAGCTGAGCATCCAGGTTGTAAATAGCCTTCCTATAACAATGTATATATGAAAGATTTCGTCAAACTACTGTTTTATTATTTACATGTGATTTAGCTATATGTTTTTGTTAATATTTACGATTATTTTTCTGTACTCCTCTTAATTTCTCTTTTTTTTTCTCTTGCAAATCCTAATTCTGAATTCTGTAAAGTTCTGTAACTATCCTAGCAGCCTGTTTATTGATGTTCTGATTTGATTTTGTTGTGAGTTAGCCAAATAAACTGTCTGAACA